TACGATGGGATGTCAATCGATTATTAGTCAGGATCAAGAGGGGAATTCGAGGAGAAGCACGGACGGCCCGAACGTAGTTGTAGTGTCAAGAGGGTATCAGTGTAGTCTACTCCGTAGATACCTGGGCGATCTAGAAGGAGGTCCACTGAAGAAAAGAGGTGGAGTGGAGCATAGAGGGTTTAACACAACCATCGGACGGCGTCACGCCGAGTACCCGCTCGGGCGTCCAACAACGGATAACAGACCTCAATGTAATAATGCGACTGAATAATGTCCAGGGAACCAATCAGTGTGCTTCAACATGGCTGAGCCGAACCTTTCCACGATGAGGAGGTACCTCCCATGGTCTAACAGGGGTCTCATACAACCAGTGTCCGTGGTCTTCTTGGGAGGGCCAAATACTACCGCATCTAGACTCCTAGCTTATTCGCACGGTAAAAGGTATCCGCCATGTCTGGAGTCTGGAGGTTTGGAGTCCGGAGTCAAGGAGTCGATCAATGTGTGATCGAGGAATGAGAACGTGCAGTTTGATGTGGGCTCCGAATTTTCTCCTTGCGCCAACAGCATGAGCGGACAGTTACAAACATTTTGAGTTGTACTATGGGAACCATGGGTCTGATTGATACTACAAAGGCCTATCAGACTATCAGTTAACTTACTCTCTCTCAGAGTTCAATAACGCGAGGGAGGGCAAGAGTTTTTTGCCTGCAGAAGAGTAGCGGCAGGGAAGAGGTCCTTGCTGAGAGGACTGACCGCGGAAATCCACAGCCAAGACCACAGCAGCTCAACATAATGATCTTTTTCAAGGAAGGTAAGATCTTCCGATTGATATTGAGTAGTACCTAGTATCAAAAGGTTTGACTAAAGCTTTGCTGTTGATATATGAGATTAGTTTTGAAGTGATAGGCGAAGTTGTTGGGAAAGCGTGCCAGTGTGGCGAATAAAACTCTGCTGCGCTAAGCATGCAAGCGAAGCCTGTATATACTACCTTACAGATATTCTCTACTGATAAGAAGTGAAGAGTTGCGATTGTAAGTGAGACAAGCGCCAACGAGCAGTGCGCTGATCTCCCAGCACGAAGCATTATTAAATATAGATACAGAAATTAAATTAATACCCATGATCACCAGAGGCGCCCGATGAGACATGTATGAAATATGAAGAATTTTCGAAGTTAGTATTCCGTGCTCACCTACAGAGTAGTGAACTCAAAGCTTATAGGGCACGCCATAGCAGCAGGAGATGGTGGTTCATTCCGACAGTCGACGATGATATTGCTGAGCACTACAAAGCAGTTGCAGATTGAAGGATCGGATACATCCAAAAATGCTCCCAAATAGAGAGGTACTTCTCGTCCTTAAATATTCTACGATTAACTAGCAAATTATCTTTAGTAGATAGAAATTTGATCAACACCTTTCGTGTTGGTATTATACTGTATACTTATTAGTATTCAGATAGACCTTCCAACTAGGTAAAAGCTGTAACCAAAATCGATGGATGAGGTGATTGGAGTTTCCAAGCTTCGCAAGCGAGAGAAACCCAGAACCCTGTCAATGGCCTGGCCCAATAGCCAAGGAAGAGCTGCAGCCACAATGTCCGTGCAGACTGGTGTACATGTAAAGGAAACGTCCAATGATTCAACGTTCCACCCCAGCTAGGGAAAGTCAAAACTGCCAAGGTACGACCTTTTTAGAACACTCCTGTCAATAAGTGGTTGGAACAAGGAAGTCTTGGAAGTTTGGACAAGGATCCTGACGTCAGACGAGGACAATTTCCAAGGAAAATCTGGTTGGCATTTTTCCCCTCCACGCTAGTTCTACACCTCTCGACGCCATCTTCACTATATTTCCACTCATTATTAATTAGGGTCATTATATTGCCGTCATTAATATTGTTGCCATTTACGATCTTTGAAATTAGCACTCCTTGTAGTGTACAGAGTAGTCTGTAATAATAACACAAGTCTTCGTCGTGTGCTCTAAACGTTGCGCAATGAAGTGTCCTCGTTACCATCGTACCAGAGCAGTCTCGGCTCGGACTCCTGGCATATCCATCCCGTAAAGCAACCCCCACAGTCCGGGCAGTTCGGAAGAGATACGATGCTGTTTCGTATTGATCGAATAGAAAAACGGAAAAACAGGTTTTGTTTCAAGATCGTCCGCTATCAGGATTCTCATCAGAGTTCTCAATCTAGTAAATGGACAAGTCTTCTACAAAAGGATTGTGCCCCTGGTGGAACTGAAGCTGAAGTGGGATGGGAAAATACTTCGTGTTTGTCGAGACAGTGGTACCAATATATTTTTGATTCTGGCCGTTGGTGATACAGATAATCGAAGTTGGAACGTGCACTCCCCGCTAGAAAAGCTATTCTAGGGGGCTAAAATCGTCAATAATACCGTACTTTGGTGTCTCGTTTGCAGTTGATATGATCAAAATCTACTCTGTATAGTAGACCTCAACTTTTAATTATCGAAGAACGTGTATCAAGGACGTGACACTTCTTTCTCCCACTCCCAACATTTTTGATGCACGGAGTATCTAGACCTGCCGAGACCACGGTGGAAGGAGCTTCTGCTGTTTCTGGTTGGTGGTGGCGAACGGGAGGCTGGCGCTAATTCGGGGCTACTTGCTAGCGTTCTACCACATTTCTTGCTCCTATGGCGAGTGGGGTGGACAACTCCGTACTACTCGATAGATACTACTACTCGTTGACAGCAGAGTACATCATCTCATCATCTTATACCGTACTCCAGAGTGTATCTTCCAAGTACATACTCCAAAGGAGGTATCACCTACTTGGGACATCTGCGCCTGGGCCGGGGGTCGGGGGTCGGGGGTCTCCTGAACGTTGAGTTTCAAAATTGACGTTTTTCTGGTTCAGTGCTTCTCTTATCACCCCCTCCTCTACCAGGAATCATAAGAAGAGAAGGGCAAAAACACATTGCAGTAATAAATTGACCCCAGATCGGAGATTCTTGAGATCGAGATGCGCAGATGCGATGATGGATAGTCAATCCAGTCAGTCGCCCAAGGAGGACGCTTGTTCCTTGATTTCTGGCATTCCAGTAGCGTAGACATACGTCGATACATACGTATGTATGCAATGGGATGTACATCTACAAAGTGGTCCACAATACTCCGAACATGCAGGCTTGACGATCACCTGTCCTCCACTAAGCCACATATAGATACGTACCTAATAAACATACTCAGACTACACTCGAGAGGAAAGGAGATTTACCTATGTAACCAGGTATTAAATATGCATGAGACTACCTTTCATTAACAAACAGCATTACCGCATGATTATTAATGAAGAAATTAACTTATCAGACATCTTTCTTTTTTGGTGGATGTCCATGGTTTTGGTGTAATTGCCAAACCACCGGATGTCAGAGCGACCGGGATAGATAAGGGAAAAGTCATAAGTCATACAGTCATACACAGCAACTTACCCTCTTCGACAACCGGAGTCCAAGGCTCCCCGACAGATAGCTATGGCTCCACCTATCTAAACGGAACGCATTGACTGGGCCTTCTGGGATCGTCCCACTGTCCCAGACCGTTCGATCGTTCTTTAAAGTTCGCCTGTAATTACCAATAATACACCATCTTCCCATCATCACCTCATCTGTCGTTCTTTTCCGGGCGCTGCGGCAACTATGAATGTGCAGTAGTACCTCTAGGTACATGCTTGGCCGACTTCCTCGCCTTATTCAACGGTCATGGCGGATAGAATTTCCCCCCCTCTCTTTATCATCGTACAATGATAAAAGATGAATAAAAAAATGAAGTCAAAGCAGATCAGAAAGCAAACTAAAGATGCAATGCTACTACTCCATACTGTAGTCTGAACGCTTAGGACATCTCCCCTTAATCAATTTTGCCTCCACTTCTATTCCTACGGTGATTAGTCCTTTGATTCGCAAGAGGCTGATGTTTTAGATACCGGATTTTCTGGGTTCTTTTTTCTTCTGGACCATAGGTGGTAGTCAACATCTAACCTTACTAGACTGAGGATCTGCTCTTCTTATCAATTGCTGCCATTCCTGTTTATTGCGCCTACACTTTTTATTATTACTGCGGCTCCCTCTTCGTCAATTATCACTCATTCTTTCTTCGCCTCTCATATACCTTCCTCCCCCTCCATTACGCTATCTATCTTTGCCATCTCTCTACCTTAATTCTTGTCCTTCCTATTCTCACACAACATTGGGGGTGTCCGTTATCGGTTTGCGCCTCGTTCTTTTTTTTTTTTTTTTCATGGCCCTGTAAAACTTTAAAGTTCCTGTGTTCCTCCCATCTGCTCCAGTTGCCTTCCTACAACTTCCGGTCGTCCTCTTGTTCACCATTTTGCCTCTCCGCTAGATGTCGAGTCCACAAGGTATGTACATGCAGCTCGCAATCGTGCAATGTCAATGCTACACACATTTTTCGCCAATATTTTCCTTTTCTTTCGCTATCTTCCGAAAACGTTAAATGGCGGTGATCCTTTTCTCGAATCCTATTGTATCCTGATTCCTCTTTTGTGTCACTCGAGGATTTGTACCGTGATACCTTCGTTACCTCTCTCGTCCCGGACAGTGACATGACCGCACTCCAACGCTCCTTCTACTGATGATGCAAACGCCCTTTCACCTCCAATCTCTCCCAATTTTCTGTCCGGATCCTCTCTTTTCTTCACTGAGCCAGATCATTTCATCTCGGCAACAACCTACCCACTTGACACCGTCATTTGCCTCTGGTGTGAGGTTGCACATCAGATAGAGGCCATTGCCACTGTCCTGATTTTATACAGCCTTGACAAAGGCAATTCTTCCTGACTAACTCTTGAGTCAGATTGTATTTACAGGGGCCGTTTCTTTGAACGACACTTCCTTTAATTTTTTCGTCTGTGGATCAAGGTTGCTCTCTTCACGCTGTATCTCCAGCTTGTTCCATTCAGACCTCTCAACAATCAGCCTGCACCTTGTGTCTAGCCACACAAGTCCGGCCGGATGCCATACACTGCGCCGTTGAAGTCGTCGCCTTCTGCGCAGCACATTGAACACTCTCAACCCATCTCTCACTCTTGTCCCAGCTCACCGCCCACCGTCGCTTCTAAAGCTGGGCGTCCGCACCTCCCACGTTCCTACTCATCTACCGCTTATGTTCGCAGGCACAGAAGGAGCCCGTCGACCAGCAAGGGCTTTGTCTTCCCAGCTGATGACAATCGTCCTCTCAAGGCTAACCATGTTGTCGACACTCTGGCTAGTGTCCGGCAATCCCCGCCTCCGATAAGCGATGCCATGATTCCTCCAGGGGCAGTGATATCTCCACCGGAGTCGGCTCTGAACTCAAGTGACGAAGAGTTGACGCATCATCACCGGGATGCACTGAAGCTGGAGGAACTCGAGGCTGCCGTGAGGTCCATCGAGCAGCGACGGACGCCTTCTCCGGAAAGGGAAGCAGCAGGAGAGAAGTCATCGTCAAGTACGACACCGCGGGAGTCTTCTCGTCCACCACTCACCAAGGAGGCTCGCAAAATCTCACACTCTCGGTCGGTAACAGAAAGCTCTATCTCCCAGAAGAATGAAGAAGCTTTGACAAGCTCACCGGAAGAGAGTGAGAGGGACGATGAGCCCCAGAGGAAGCAGCCTATGGTGCGAAAGAAGTCAGGAGAACTTGTGAGACCCGCTCTTCGCCCTCCGTCGGCACGGCGGCGGCCATCTAGCATGCCGGGTACCCCCACCTATGCCAAGGCGGTGCATTTTGACTCTCAGCTCGAACACATTCGTCATTTCTTGCAGTTGGACAAGCCACAGGCGGTCAGTGCCAACACGTCTCCTGTGGAGACCTATAACAACGAAGGGGAATTTCCCTTTGAGGCGCCTTCCTTCGAATGGGAGATTCGACTTTCAAACTTCCCCAAGGACCTTTCGTCTCGAGCTCTTCAAAAGGTGCGACTTGAACGACTATTTCTATCATCGGACAAGGATACATTGGTTGGCGTGGTGGCAGTTGCCAATCTGGCCTTTCACAAGCACGTTGCGGCTCGCTTCACCTTCGACTACTGGAAGACAGTCTCTGAAGTTACCGCGGAATACAGTGACGATGTCCGTCGGAAGCAAGCTCATGATGGCTATGACCGGTTTACCTTCAGCATCAAGCTCACTGACCATGCAAACTTGGAACAGAAAACCATGTTTGTCTGCGTCCGCTATAGCGTGGCTGGGCAGGAATTCTGGGACAACAACAACTCTATGAATTACCAAGTCAACTTCGTTCGTATCCCTCGACCACGACCTGAGCCGCGGAGCCCGTCCGCCGCAGGCTCGCGCCCAGCTCTTCCTCGCAGCAAGAGCTTTGCCGGCGTCAATAGCCGTCCTTCTTCGATGCCTTCCTCGCTCGATGATTTTGATGAGGATATAGACGATTATTTATCCTTTGGTCGTCCCAAGAAGACATTGAAAGAGGAATCTTCATCCGAGGATCTCTTGAAGGAGGTTCACAGATTGTCTGCTGCCCGCGAGAAGCAAGCGCGACAAGCATTCGGCAATCGCTATGATTTTGGGGCCTCTTTGTCCGCCGTCATGCGGACCAAGCCAACTCATGATCGCACGACTCTGACCGCTCGAGCAAAGTCCGACACTACCAAGTCTGACCCTGGGAACGGCGACCCTGCCCTGACGGAAGGTCTACGTATCAAGAAGGCGTCTGCAGTCAGCTCGCTCAGCTCGCAAGTTGCACAGTCGGAACACGTCAAACCCTCGTCTCTCTTGTCCAGCAAACCCCACCATGATTCATCCGTTTACAAAGAACTCGTCGACAAGTTCTGTTTCTATGGATCCTCGAAGGGCTCTAGTGGCACCAACGACTCGCTTAACAACGGGCGTTCGCATCCTGATTCTTCGAGCACATCCAGCACCTCCCCCACACAATCCTTGTCGCCTCCTCTCTCACCGCGTGCGACTGAGATCTTGGGCATCGACTATGGGAATAGCCGCTCGTCGTCTACTAGCCCCGTCAGCTCAAGCCCCCGTGCAGCTTCATCGCCAACCCGTTTCGACTATGCTCATCACCCTCACATGCAGAGCAGCTTCTTGAACGAGACTCAGACCCCGGCAGTCATCAGAGGGTGAGTTTGCTCTTCCATGACTACCGATAAACAATTTGGGTCCATCTTCACCGTCAGTGTACCTCTTCTCACACTATGGTTGAAGGTCGCACAATACTTTGATACCCACGTTTGACACGATTTATTCGAGGGATACGTTCGTCGACCCTTCCTCAACCCATCATTTCTCTACCCCATCAGCTGTTTGCTGAATTAGCAGTGACCTATTGTCGCCGTCGCGTATACCAGCTATGGCTTGTTAGTCTGGTTTTAATACTCCTTTTCTACTTTCTTTTACTCTGGTGCTCATATCAAGTATTGAGGCCTTTCCCTTTGCGATGTATCATAAACCGCGGGGAAGAGCCTTGTACTTGCTTATTCTCCTCTTTTCCACGAAGCAATGATTATGGTGGAAAGCAAGTCATGTCCATGCAATATTGTGCTCAGTGTGGTCTTTTTGATATCGGTCTTCATTTGCTTCATGAGTACGATGATACGAATTTTCTTCTCTGCGTTTGTTCCTGCATAGTAGTCTGGTAGTCTGCTTGACAGCATTCTATGAGATGAAGCATTTGCGATCAGGAAAAGTTTTCCACACAGTTTACGCTGTTGTTCTTGAACATTGCTCAACTTTAGTTGAGTGTCTGCATGGAGTTTGGAGTCTTGTGCTATCTTTTGCCGCTTTTGCTATCGTTCTCTGGGCGGGTAACAATGCCTTTCTTTCTTGTATCGTCTGCCACGTGTGGGTAGTTCTGGTATGATATGTGGAGGCAACGACAATTCTCAATACATTCAACACACGGTTATTACGTCTGATTCAAGCCTTTAGTCTTGTAGCCTTGTAGTTGACGCAAAATCGAGCGTGTCTAGCTGCTGTTGGTATGTTCTATCATTTGTAACTTCGCTGACGATGTCCCTTGTCGAAAAGTCTGTTGACTCTCTTCAAGGTCGCTGTCTGACAGTTATTTTGATATTCTTAAATCGAATGTATTTTTCGACCTCGTTGCTTGGGCGAGAGGTATGAAGAACGATGGCCCTCGACATGATTAGGAGTGACTGCAGGTTTAGAAGTGGGGTGTCGGAAAGTACAACTCCAGACAGGCTCGATCCTGGAGTGATTGTTGGGTCTAACTCTCAATTGGACTATGAGGGGGCAATCGCGAGAGATGACTTGATTCAGGCAACAGACAGAATCTATAATGAGCATTGACTACGCATATTCATACTTTTTCCGCAGCGTACAACTTCCCGTGTCGATCGGTACCTTTGCGAGAAACTTGACGTTGGTGATAAGGTATGCCGCCAAGCCATCACGTGACACTACCCGCCTGATGCGCCCACGTTGCTGGTTCACAGCGGCAAAAATGGGCCAAAAACCAACGGCAGAAACATGGACTTGAAAGCAGCCGTTCATAACGTCCTTTTTCCCATCCGCCACCCGCCAATCATCTCGTCTCATTGCTTTTTGACCCTTCTAGATCAACCCCTGGTCTTAGTCATTCACTGAGACCACGAAAAATCACGCTGTCGCTTGCTGACCGCCCCGACGACCTATTTAAGAATACGCCTCCTTCGCCCCTGCTTCTTAACTCGCCCTTTTTTTCTTCCTTTTTACTTACTACTCAATCCAGCCAGCGACGCGCCACATACTCTCATCAACTCCACGGGTCGTTTTCATCAACTTTTCATCTATTTTCTTATCATCTCATCTTTGAATTTTATTTCACAATATGACTGGACGTAAGTATTATACTTGATATATTTTTCGCCGTGGTTACTTATCATCCTTGGTTGTTGATGGCTTCCGGTTGAGATGGGTAATGATGACACGCGGTTGAATTCACGTGACATCATGTTACTGCCTCAGGTCAACACGTCATCTGTGCAGTCCTACCCTATCTCTAGCGCACCTCCATATTGACGGCCATTCGCTATCTCTATTTATCAAGACCACAGTGACTAACAATCATGTCCTACAGGCGGCAAAGGAGGCAAGGGTCTCGGCAAGGGTGGCGCCAAGCGTCACCGTAAGATCTTGCGTGACAACATCCAGGGTATTACCAAACCTGCTATCCGCCGTCTCGCCCGTCGTGGTGGTGTCAAGCGTATCTCCGCCATGATCTACGAGGAGACCCGTGGTGTCCTCAAGTCCTTCCTCGAGTCGGTCATCCGTGATGCCGTCACCTACACGGAACACGCCAAGCGCAAGACCGTCACCTCGCTCGATGTCGTCTATGCCCTCAAGCGCCAGGGCCGTACCCTCTACGGTTTCGGTGGCTAAACGTTTACACTTTGCTATTCGTCACATCGAGTCCCGAGTCCCGGCTCCGACTCATCTGGCTTCTCGGACCGCATGCTGTGTCTGGTTGAGTGCTTGGGTGACTGGTTGACGGGGGAAAGCCCGGAGACTTGTATATTGACCTTAATGCGTTTATGCTGTGATGTTTTTCTGGATCTTTGAGGTTTATTATGGGGTTTCAATGGGGTTTGGAATGGGCTAGTTTGATCTTGACAATCTTCTGCTGGTTTTATCATATGGGCTTGGATGATCGGCTGGTTTGGGTCTCCTTCTAACTGCAGTCAATTGCGGATTCCTTGCTCTCTGGAGCTAGAGAATACAATCAATTTTACTGGGGATGAATTGACCTGATTCTGTAAGACATAGTAAGTCGTAGTGTAGTATGCCATCGAAAGGATTCCAGACAGATCACATGGTGTAATCTGCGACCGCTGTATCGTGCACGGACCAACACGTGCGCATGACGTTATCCGCCCTGCGCTTCCTCCACATTGCTGCTGGACCTCGGTTTTTCGCAAGAGTAATCAGGGTATGACGGCTCCGACTTTGTGTGGCTGCATAAATCGGAGAGGTCCATCTCGTGCTTCGTTGATGGACACTGCAGGACCTGACGTCGTCAATCGGGCCTGCTCTACACAGTACATCATACCCAGGAGGCCATAGTTGCTATCACAGCTGGTCGATATTTCTGACGAGCTATCAATTGACTTGCCACCGATTCTGTCCTTTCATCTTCGATTAATAGCCTCTTTGTTTTTTAACCACTAAAAATGTCAGAGTATAAAGTTACCTACGAGTCTGAACTGGTACGTCTGGTTGATGTTCTATGAGACCCGGAACTCAGCTCTTTTGACAGCTCGAGAGGGTTACTGACTAGGGTGGCACTGGGCAGGACTCGTATCAACTGTACCATAGATATGATGATCCGCCGCCGGAGAAGGACTGGAAGAGAGCTGCGCTGCGTGGTCCCGCTTTGCCTGCCGTGGGCAATGCAGTCGCTGGGGCTGTGGGAGCGGCTATATCCAACGTTGTCACGTACCCACTCAGTCTGATTGTGACTCGACTGCAGACGCAGGCGCAGCGGAGGACGAAGAAAAAGAACAAGGCGGATTCCGAGGACGGGGAAGAGGAAGAAGAAGAGGAGGAGTACACTGATGTGCTTGACGCAGCACGCAAAATTTACGCCAAAGAGGGCTTGGGGAGTTTCTACACAGGACTTGCGCAGGATACGGCCAAGACAGTTGCGGACTCGTTTCTCTTTTTCCTTGCGTATGGTTTTTTCAGGCAGCGGAGGATCAGGGCTCGGTATGGCGATGGGCGGCGGTCGAAGCATGTTGTTCTTCCGATTCTGGATGAGTTGGCGATTGGTGTGCTGGCCGGCGCGTTTGCGAAGCTCTTTACCACACCACTTGCTAATATCGTGGCGAGGAAGCAAGCGGCATCCGGCAGAAAAGCTCTCTCGACGAAGGATATAGCTGCCCGGATCAAGTCTGAGAAGGGGCTGAGGGGGTTCTGGTCTGGGTATTCGGCGTCGCTCATTCTCACGCTGAATCCGTCGATCACTTTCTTCCTGAATGAAGTCTTGAAGTATGCCCTGTTGTCGCGGAATAAGCGGGGAAGACCGTCGCCAGCGACGACGTTCCTTTTAGCTGCCATCAGCAAGTCCGCTGCATCGTCGATCACGTACCCGTTTTCCATGGCCAAGACAAGAGCGCAGGTCGATAGCTCGGGAAATAGGGAGAAATCGAGTAGTACGAGCGTTTCCGAGAACGGGATTTCCTTCGCGCCTCAGATCATTACGGATGTGCTGGCCATTGCACGCAACGACGGTGTATCCGCGCTGTATGCGGGCCTCCCCGGGGAAGTCCTCAAGGGTTTCTTCTCGCATGGCTTCACCATGCTAGCAAAGGATGCAGTCTATTCGCTTATCGTGCAGAGCTACTATCTTCTTCTTATTGTCTTGAGGAGATATCCTACGCCTGAAGAGCTGATCCAACGCGCGCGCGAACAGGCCGAGGAATTCGCTGAAGCCGCCCGAGAGGGCGCGCGGGATCTGGCTGAGAAAGCTAAGGAAGGTGCCGAGGAGATACTTGATCATCATCCGGGTCATGTCTCTGTGGATACAGCCTCGAATGCTGGGTCTTCCGGTGTGGATGCCTCGACTGGATACCGCGTTGGCTCTGATGGGCCGTGGTCTGAGTTGGTGAGAGATTACGTGGAGGATGAGACGACAGAATGGAAGGGCATGTATCGTTGGTTCTGGGAGAAAGCAAAGCATGGACAAGAGTGAGCCTGTTGTCTTGTTTGTCAATTTTCTTAGTTTGCGGTGTATGAAAGTGGAGTTGGATATTCATTCATGGATGATGAGCGTAGCATGATCTGAATTCATCGCCTAAGTAATTTCAACTTAGCATACAAATCTATTGACAATTGAGAGCAAGACATGGTTTCAAGAATGAATTCTTTTGTATGAGTTCTAAGAATAGCGTACACTAGGGAGTATCCAAGATCTCTTCCATGCAGTGGGGCCTTCACTCGCCGAGATCCACGGGACGCACCATCGCATCCAGCCCGACTGTTTACTTTCCCCTCATCAATAATCTATCAATCCGCAACCGATCTCTCCAAATATTGCAGGACAGATTTGGGGTGTTCTCCTTCCTTATCTCATGTCAAACGAGTCTCGCGGGGGTCCTGGTTTGCTGGACCTCGAGAAAGAACTCACTTGCTCGGTATGTACTCTGCATAATCATGCTGCTTCTTGCGTCATTCCGATCGGATCTTATCGACGAGTGGGATATCCACGAGGACCACAATGTCAACCCCCTTCCTTCGATCGTCGGCCTCCGTCGGCGGTGGATAATCATATAGCACTTGATAGATAAATATGGGCGATCTCAAAAATTACTTATGTGACCTCTCACTGACTGATCCCGGAACGATCACCATAGATCTGTACAGAACTGCTCTACCAACCTCTCACCCTCCTTAACTGCCTACACACCTTCTGCGGTTCCTGTTTGAAAGAATGGTTTGCTGCTCAAGCATCCCGCCGTCGGCCGTCGTCATCCACCCCGCAATTTACCTGCCCAGCATGTCGGGCCGTAGTGCGCGAGACACGACCCAATGCCACCGTTACTACGCTGTTGGACATGGTTCTAGCAGCCAATCCTGAGCGCGTCAAGTCAGCCGAGGAAAAGGAGGAGATTGCTCAGAAATACAAGCATGGCGAGTCGGTATTTCCTGCGATTCCGTCTCCGGGACAAGATGGTACCGTGTTGGATGACGAAGATCGACGGTTGCTGGAGGAGGTTCGTGAATTGAGTTTGCGAGAGAGCAGAACGGGGACAGGACAATCTTCAAGAAGCATACGAGCCGAGAGCGTTGATGCCGATGGACGGAGAGCGGATGGTCGCTCAAGGCGACGGCGTGAAGAGGAGGAGCGTGCACTTCGCCGACAGCCTGCGGCCCGTACAGAGGATAACTCGCAGAGAACGAGGCGGATTGAGCACCAGTCCAGTCTGCGATCGCTGCTTAGCTTGTCCGATACCGAAACAATGGAAGAGGAGATCCTGCGACAGATCGTCGAAGACGGACTGCTGAATGATATCGACCTGGACAATCTTGGGCCCGCGCAGGAAGAGGAGTTAACTGAGCGAATCGCCGATGCTTATCGTCGACGACACATGCGACGGCCGCGCACACACCAGAGACAAGAGGCGAATGAGGCACTACAGACGTCGCCGCGACCGCGTGCGAGGTCGCAATCCGTGCAGAGACCACCGACGGTGTCCGCTCCTCAGACATCCTCGAGGAATCCACCCGTGTCAAGACCGTATCTGCTGGAACCGCTTGTCTCGCGCTCGGACGCTTCTAATCATCAGCGGCGTCTTTCGGATCAGGGGACTCGGAGGAGGAGGACGTCGCCGGCTCCTGCCAATGCGGCGTCCACATCGGAAGTCACTTTGCGACCTGCTGCGAGGTCGTCTAGTGATATAGCTTCGGATCGTCCTCGTCCTTCTCAGTCCTCCCGAGCTCGCGCGGCCGAATTGTCGGCTGCTCCGAGGCCTCGACGGGCAACAGCTTCGGAGCAGAACGTCCCGACCGTATTCACCCCTGAAGCCAGGAATCGCGATCACCGGCAACACGTCTCGGGCAGACCACTGAATATCTCGCCTGCCTCAGTAACTTCACCGAGCACACCGAATAATTCTTTTTCTTCCCGCTTAGAACAGACTACGGCCGGTTCATCAGTTTGTAGTTCTCTAGCACCAGCCGTAAGCAGTCCTGCCAACCAACGCTCTCGACCTTCGTCTTCTCGATCCCAAGCCTCTCAACGTCCTTTACCGACTTTCACCGAACCTTCCATCTCTTGCGACCGGTGTGGCAAGCAGAATATCCAGTATGACCTCCACAGAAAATGTCTACAATGCAAAGATGGAAAGTTCAATTTATGCTTGCGGTGCTATCGCCTTGGTCGCGGCTGTTTGCAATGGGCGGGTTTTGGTCCGTCTGCAGAAGCAAATTTCGACCGAATGCTTGCCTCCTCGACCGGTCGGGCTATGCCGTCGCGCGAGATAGCGCATGTCTTGCAATTTTTCAGATATTCACGGCCCTCTGAGAATGTCCATCGCACGACTAGCGGGGGAACGGAGATGACTAGCGACGACCCAGCCCAGAGGTTGCAAACGGGATTCTTCTGTGACATCTGCCACGCTGTGGCGAACAAATGCTACTGGAAATGCAACGAATGCAACCAGGGGGACTGGGGCTTCTGCAATAAATGTGTTAACCAAGGACGATGCTGCACGCACGCGCTTCTACCTATCTGTCGACTTGCGCCTGGAGATCGCTCGAGCGTACCAGTACCGACCAGCAGTGACTCGACTGATGGACCTAACGATCCATCCAGTTCTTCTACTTCGACTGATAACGGGAACGAGATATACAGGATCCTCTCTTTCTCAACCAACTGTGACATCTGTACATACCCCATCCCAGCATCGGCTACGAGATTTCACTGTCTCGAATGCAATGAGGGCGACTACGACGTCTGCGCAAACTGCTACCTCAAGCTCGTCGCCACAGGCAAGATCAGCAAAGAAAACGGTCACAATGGCTGGCGCCGTTGTGTCAAAGGCCACCGCATGGTTGTTGTCGGCTTCGAAGACCACGACGAAGGCCAGAGGAGGGTCGTCGTGCGCGATCTCGTCGGCGGCCGCGCCCTGAAAGACGAACACGCAGCCGCTGTCCCATCACCTGAAGTCGGATCCGGCGACTGGAGTTGGAAGGAAGGCTCTGAGCGAAGAAAGAAAGCCTCCCGCGTGCGAACTTCCTGGACAACGATACACAATGACCGCAGCAACTCATTTCCCATCAGTGCCACTGGCGGCAGCGGTTCGGGCTCGGGCCCTAACTCCGAAACAGCCACGCCCACCAGTTCCCATTCACCACCGTTCCTGCGCCGCTTCCCACCCGACGGTGGAATCGGCCTCATCGTCCATGCGCTTTGGTCGTGGTATCCCGAGGATGATGTCCAGGACGAACTGATGTTTCCGCGCGGGGCGGAGATTACGGAGGTTGAGAATATCAACGACGATTGGTTTTGGGGCTGCTATGCTGGTCAGACGGGGCTGTTTCCCGGATCCCATGTTACTGTCGTTGGGGAGATCGTTTAGTTTCGTACGTTTGTCATGGAAATGGCGTATATGATCTGCTTACTCGAGTATCCGCATGGGACATGACTTATGATTGATGTGTGATGTGTTTTGTGAACATAATGCAACGAAAACATGGAAATTTATGCAAGCTGTTGCATTTCACAGAGTTGTGTTCATGGTTTTCTCTCCAGCTAAACTATCTCTATCTCGTAAGAACGTTGAGCAACGATCCGGTTGCTCGGTCATATCATATCTCAGCCATGGCGGGCCTGTAACCGCCAAAAGACATCAAGCCGTAAGACATAACATCGTGGTATCACAGCAAAGAAGTAAGAGAACATGGCATGGCAACAAAATCAAGAATCCACCCAGCAATAAACATTACAACGACACGGAAAGAACTGGAGAAAAACCATAATCACTCGAGCAACGCAACCATTAACCTCTGATAATCCCCGCTAGTTTCTCCGCGGACTCTGGCGATAAGATCTTTCTTGTACCGATGGTGGTACGCGCGTTTGACTTGGTCCAGATGCTGTCTGTTCCAGTGTAAGCGCACGACCCGCACAACCAGCTTCTCGTCCTTGGTGCCCATCCCCTTCATGCAGTCCTCGAGCAGGTCCGCGTCCCGTATGGCCGGGTCCAGCGCGGTGCGGAGCATATGCAGCAGCGCGTCTTTCATGTGGCCGGAGAATTCCTTCTCGATGTGGTTCTCCAGCGACGAATTGTACCGAGCGGCGAAGGCCTGGCTGATGGCGCGGAGCTCGGGGTCCGACGCACGGGCGAAGATCCCGCAGACTTCTTCGACGTTGTTGACGACGCGGCCGCTGGTTGCGGCGTGGATGGCGCGGGCTTCCTGCTCGATGAGCTGCGGGTTGATCGGGTAGGAGGCTTCGTGGCGATCTGCGCGGAGGACGAGGGAGAAGAGGGAAAGGGTTTTGAAGGAGAGGTCGGCCTCGACGTCCTTTTGGAGGGAGCGATGGAAGGTGTGCTCGTAAGCGGACTTGATGGCGTTGAGGTCGGCGTTTGAGCGGCCCAGGAGGACATCGTTGAGGAGCCATTCCTTTGTGCCGAGGCCTTGGACTGCTTCGCGGGCGGAGTGCACATCGTGCAGGAGCGGTCCGTCAATGATGGCGAGCAGGGCTTGGCGGAAGTAGCTGCTGGTTTCGGACTTGACATCCTTGTAGAGGTCGCGACGGAGATGGTTGGTGTAGGTGGACCGGACGGCGGCCATTTGCAGGGGGTCGAGTTTGGTCAAGACTTGGATGAGCATCTTCTCGTCGGTTCCGAACCCTTTCATCGCTTTGCGGAGGAGGTCTGCTTCGCGGCGGAAATCGCCCGGTGCCATTTGACCAGGGATGTAACCCATAGAAGGCATGGCAGGGGGCCCTTGGAACTGTTGCGGGGGTGGTGCTGGATAGCTGCTCCCTCCTAACGGCGGAGCGCCGTAGGGTCCGGGTTGGGCATACCCGCCCGCAGGCGGAGGGTATCCAGGACCGCCTTGTGGAGGGTACGGAGGTTGCGAAGGAGCGCCATATGGAGGCTGAGGTGGTGGCGAATGGGGATATCCTGGTCCGTGAGCCGGAGGATATCCGCCCGGCGACGGGGCAGGCGGAGGTGGTCGATTATAGTGGCCCTGGGGAGGAGGGGGACCGCCGTAACCCGGTTGTTGGGGGTAGGGCGGTTGTGGGAAGCCTTGAGGAGCTCCATAAGGAGGGTAGGGAGGTTCTGCAGAGAAAAGTCAGTCAGTCTATCCAGCTATAATAGGCAGCAGAATTGTGGTGGTAGGATGCGGGGGCATACGATTTGGTGGGGGGTATTGGTTGTATGACATAGTCGGATTTCTTTGATTCTGTGGACTGTATGTTGTGAATTCTGATGATTTGACAAAGGAAAGAAAGAAACCAGAAGTAAAGAGAATGAGGGACGATGGTCAGCTTATATTGACGAAAATTAGGTACCTCTCTACGGGATACATCGTCATATGTCGGCTGTGCCTTCAGAAATTGCCTGAGAACCATGGCACCAAGACGGTAATGTGGCGCAGGCAAGGCTGAGCCCCGTAGTTAGGTGGGCCATTCCACCAACCGGCCACTTTGGGCTGAATCTGTACATCTTAAGGTTGTAGATTTCCTTGACTGTTCGATTAGAGGGGCAATAGATTATTTAATCACATGAACACGCAGTCATTCTGTTTGGCCGATGATCAACTCAGCAATCCCCCGATACATCAGACGAGGATGGAAGTGTTCCTTCCAGCCATTGACTGCCGCTACTTGGCTCTGCACCAGAGCGATCTTACAGTCCGCCTTGTATCGTCGACAAATCATACTTTCGAAGCCGTTCGTTTGCGCAGGCATAGTGGGTGGAAACCAAAAGTCCACCGGGAAGAACATGGGGGAAGAAGGAGGATGCGCCGGCAATCAATGGCGTTAGCACTGACCGTTGGCGGACTAGCTACAGCCAGAGGATAATCCGTGGTTTTACTGCCTCATTTTTTGCATAATACATCATTGAAGGCTTCCAAGAGAGTGAGGTGATCCAAGTGAATAATCAGACTCCAATCTGGTTCAAGCTTGAACGCCATGGCTCAGACTAGATAAGTAGTTCTACATGTCACAGGTGATATTGCAGTAGTTATATAGTTTCGCAATACTCTACTCCGTACCTATCTAATCCCTTTCCTGCGTGGCCCTGAACATTGCCATCACCTTCTCGACCGGCCTCGCCTCCCCCATCAAGAACTGGATCTTGATGGAGACCTCCATCGGGGCAGTGGGCGTGCGTGCAGACCTTCGTCCGCGACACCAAACCGGAATGTCCCGCCCTCGCACCAGCCATCCCGCCGCCGGGGTGGCCATGCCGGCGCCATCGAGTTCCGCGATGCGAGGGCAAGTTACAGGTAGATTCTGTCCGCTGGACGGCAAAAGCCAATATAAAATCAGCAGATAACAGTCCTGACGGGCCATCAGTATGGACGCAGCCACAGCAACGTCGATGCAGCGTGTCCTCGAAGTGGAGTGTCAGGGCTGCACGGTGCTTGCCGTCATGGATCAGCTCCAGCACGTCGAACGGTATGATCTGGTGGCGCTGGTGGATGCGGGCAGAATAGTCGAGTTGGGTTCGCCCGCGGCGTTGCTTGCGCGAGACTCGGAATTCTCGAGATTATACCATGCGCAGGTACGCCCCTAGCGGGCTCTTTGCAGATCAGAGGTTGCGACTGCGACAAAACAACTTACAAAGAGCCCGCCATAGATAGATAGTATGGGTGGTCTACCTATTCTTTCCTCTTTCTTAAGACAAAATGGCGAGCGAATTGCGGCTGGATTTCAAACGTATTCCACTCTAATCTCCCTTCTCATATTCGTCGTCGTATTCTGGCTGGCTGGGCGATTGCAGAAGAATAAAGTAAACTCCCCGCCTCCATCTTCTTGATGTAAATAGCTAGAACGGACGCCGGATGTGTCTTTAAGAATTAGGATTGAGTCTCATTGTGACCCTGAAACCATCGATGGGGGACTATATCTGGATATACGCAACCAAATAAGTATCAAAACTATGTTCTTCGTCTCATTGCTGCTCATGTACTCCGTATTCCTTGCATATGTCCAAGATCAAAGCAGACGATCACCTGGTCTTCCGACCCTCATCAGCCTTCTCAGCTGTCACAAAAGCTGCTCGCAGCTCTTTCGCAGCCTCCCAGAGGACCCAGAGCGGAATCCACACCCACAAGGTGTTGAAGAAAAAGAGGTAAAACCAGAGGTACACAGGGTTGCTTGTAACCAGCTGGGAACTCCCGGTCAGCCATTCAGGCGCAAAGGTCATAAAACCCCCATACAGCTCAGCCGTCGCCAGCGCGGGCGCAACGAGCCACAATCTCGCCTTAGCTGCGCCCTTTGCCGATGCAGTAGACCGGCTGCTGGATGCTTTCCACAGCAAGTAGCACACATACACGGCAGCCGGGCCGCCGAGGAACACGGTCAACAGCTCAATAGAGATGGTGGGAGCGTCAGCGACGGCCCAGCGACGATCTGCTTTTGCGTATTCCTGCCATAGTCGAGCACTTGGGCCCGTTCCGTAGGCTGCACCATACACACGGTCCTTGTGGCCTAGGAAGTATGGCTCTTTGCTAACTCCGGCGGGGAGCGTGGCGTAGCTGTAGAAGCACTCATACAGGAACGATCCTTCGATAAAGATGTGGGTGAGGGCATCGTAAGCGTGCCAGTAAAAGAGTATCCGGTTGCGCGTTTGAGAAGACGGTATCAGTGATCTGCCAAGCAGGTAGGCAATAGGCATGAACGATAGAGTAAAGCCGATGCAGAGTAACGTCGGGACGTCGAGGGTAAAAGCAATGGTGGAAGCCATGGCTCTCGTGCACCACTGTAGGTCTCTTGAAGAGGTAGAGTAATTGCAGAACGGAATATGCGCAGGCTGTAGATTAATGGGTGGTATTTCAAGCGAGCAGAGCTTTTCTGAAGGACCACATTGAGCTTGTCCTGTCTGGTAGATGAATTGAAGAGCGAGTCCAGAGAGACAATCAACAAACCCCTGATTTTCCAACACTAGTCTCGCATAAATAAAGTTGATGCCTTAGGCATATATGGTATCGCGGAAATCATCTCCACTTCCTCCATTGATCTAGAACTGTTTTCAACATCGTGGTATTCATCTGTGGTTTAATTGATGGCATCGATAATCCTTCCCTTACTGATTGTCGTTCGACTAGGCTTCAGTTCCGTCTCCAAAAACCTTGAAGCCTTCAAGGATGGGCTCAGCCCCAGACAAAGAGCGCCTAAGCAATCCCCGCACCAGTTTCGCCATGTCTATATCAGATGATCCTTCAGAGATGTCCATGTACTGACCATGCTTTAAACCAAGAGGAGTTTGTAGATATATTTCAGTGCAAGCATAATTAATCCACCATCGCTTGATCGCGATTTGTAAAACAAAAAAAGTAGTCACGCCCGGGATCGAACCGGGAACCTTCTCGGAATCCTTGAAGATGCTCACTTTTGATTGTGAACGAGAAATCATAACCATTAGACCACGTGACTGGTTCTTGTTAGAAGATTATTGATATTATATTTTATAACCCAAAATATGTAGACCACTTTGGGAGAGGCATTCCTTGTTTTGATATTTGAATCAGCACATGTGATGAGACCGAACGACTGGGGTTCCGTCCATCATCCGCTGACTGTACTACACCTGCGGTCGCAAGTCAAAAATGGACTCCAGGACCACATCCAGCAAGCTGGCCCATACTGATATAGCTCCAGGACATCGGTCACACATCCTCACGATGTCACCGAATCTGAAGCTCGACCTGTCCTGGATATCGTCTGCAGTCGGACAGTCGCCTGCCACTCACGACGCTGCTCAGTACGCCACAGATGATCGTCAGTCTGCAAGATTCGGGCCCCTGCTGCCTACCCGTTCCGTGACTCAATTCGGGGCACTCTGCGCCCCCCTGTGATCACGAATCAAGATTGTCCTGACAGTACTAATAGTCATAGAGCTTGCCCTAGGCTATAGTAGACTGGATTTGTGTTTGGTTTAAATCAGTCACCGGGCGAGCTCTCTGCTCACGCCTTCTGACGCGTGCGCCGTTCACGTGGTGGCCTCATGATCATTTCCAGAGGGCGGAGCTCTTTAAATTCAAAGATGCGGGCAGGCTGAAGCCTGAAGATAGAAACCTGGCCATTTTGCTTCTGTGATATTACTGGGAGAATCTGGATGGCGAATCTTTTGTCTCTCGTTAAGGAGGAAGTAGATACTTGGTTCATTCCTCATTTCATTTTGTCCGAAACGTCTTCTGCATAGGGAGCATACTGCTATTGTTGTACAAGAAAGATAGTCTTTGTTTAGTCTGGTTTTTGAACATGCCACACCTGCGTCACCACCGAAGACGCCATTCCTGGCCCTTTGGCAGCCCAGGAGCGCAGCTGCGCGAAAGAAGGATCGCCCGGAATTCCAGCGCACTAGATCCCTCGACGCTCGCGGAGCTCGAAGAACACTACCTGGCGCCCATCGTCTCTGAAGATCTGCCGGAAGATGATGCTGCGTCTGCCGGTATCGTGCGGACGAAGACTCGGTCCCACCGATGGTTTGCATCGAAGCACGCCGTCCGACATCATACTTCCGCGCAGAGGAGTTCTACCATGAGCGGCGGCACAGGCTCGCTACGAAGGATGATTCGTCCGCCGCTGGATAAGGCTCGATCGCTGTTCGTTTTGCCTACAACTACTTCGGCTGGGAAACAAGTGGTGGTCTCGTTGTGGGTGCCTCAAGCGTCTGAGACACAACCGGCTAATATGTTCACTGATCGGGGAAGAACAACCACCGACGATTCTGACTACTTGGCGGCCGAAAGAAACCACCGGAGGTGTCATTCGGAGCAGCCGCGGTCGTGGAGGGCGCCGAGTGCGAGTCTGTGGACGCTTTTGGAGGAGTGAGTGCTGGGATTTCGCATTCTCCTGGCGTTTGGTGTTATTGTTTCTTCCATCTTGATCGCTCATCTGCATTTCGGGAACCTAGTTCTGCCAACAGCTTGGATATTTGTGAAACTCAATCCTCGCTCTCATTGCTAAGCGTAGCTATTTCTCAAACATGGTAGCCGGGGAGTTGTTCTATATTGATCTAAAGCCAATATCTTAGTCTCAATTTGTGTGAGTTATTGCACTGTTCAGCTTATAGGCAGTATATATTCTCACTGCTATGATAGTATATGCAAAGCATTGTATGCGTAAACATTGATATTACCTCTGTTGACCTCCCAAAACCTTCAATCACGCCTTTCCAGTCCTACGAGACCCAACCATTCAAGGACACTACCAGCAGTACGCATTGTAACCTGAGATTATGGTCCGCGCTGCAGAAGACACCTCTCATTAACCATGATATTTTTAGGTGAGAAAATTCACAACTGCAATATGTCCCGAATGTCTACAAGCAAGAGACTCGCCGACCAAAACAGCTGCGATACAGAGCTTGGCTATGAAGGTTCAACTTCTCTCTCAGCTAATGCTCAGGAGGAAATCCCATAGCATCATCTGCGATGAGGCACCTCGTTAGTTGACTTTGTATCGGATCACAATGTTCGGGAGGCCACAGCTCTGGATTCAATGGTAAAACACTGCTCTGTATTAGATTGGCTGCGCACCATTTATCCACTATGACTAGATGTGCATCATGGAAGGACACATTGCAGAGATGGATATGCCGCTGAAGGTGTAAGAGTAGAATGGTATTGTCGGGCAAGACATCAAGCACGAGGTCAGATGTGCGTGGCTGATCTCTCGCAAGAAATTGACTAATACAATCCAACCCAGGTGGCCCTCGCATAGTTCCTGATAGCCCATAGGTATCTTTGTTCCCCAGAGAAGATGATCGGAACGAACGTGCCGAGGAGAAATCTTCTGGTTTAACCTGGAAGGCAATCAGGTGATGTCATATGAGGGGAAATTACGAAGTAGCGCGTTGCTAGAAGCCTCAAGTGTGGAGATGTTGGTTTCTTTGTTCGCACGTCCGTGCTTGGCGGTTTCTCAGCACTTGGCAGTAGACACAGAAAAATGGCAGCAGTAATTGTGTGGTCTAGCTTCAGGACCTGGTGCATGCGGATTGTTACTATGCTCCGGCTGCTCGAGGTAAGTCCCCGTGGTCAATCGAGTCAGACACTGAAACGTGTCAGACAGCCGGGCTACTACCTTCAGTCGAGAAATGTTTCTACCTAGAAGTCACCAAGTCATCCTGGGCTAATTCCTACACTAACGCATGGACGGCATAGCATCACGATAGGCTCCCCCTCCCTTTGACCAGTTGCAATGCGAGATTCATCCCCTCTGGGGGGCCAGGTAATGTTATTGGACCATTTGAGCTGCCCCATATCCTTCTCGAAGCACGCTAGAACCGCGCTAAACCCTTAGCACTCTGGGCGGGTCTCAGCTGCTTCGGCCTTCCCAGAGGATTTCTTCGACATGGTGGGAAGTGAGAGAGAATGATGACTGAGAGATGTACAATCCAGAAGAGGATTTGAGCAAAATCTCGATCATTGAAAGTCGAAGTGATACATGCCTATCCAAACGTTTTGGCACTTTCTATCTTTTCATCCATTCAAGGTTGAGAACAGGTACCAGGTGACAATGTTGTTGTTGATAATTCAGGCCACTAGGCAGAAGCGGTGAATTTGGCCC